ATTATCTCAGCACACATTATGCACATATGATGAAGCCAGACTTTGACAAGGAGACATAATTTCTATTAGAGCATGGCAGAAGAGTATTAGAGAGCAAGAAGAGAAAACATGAGGCTCGTTTCATAGCTCTGAGCAAAGAGGAGTCATTCTACACCAGAGTCAGTATTCCCCTCCGGTCCCAAATCCTCTGCAACAAGCAGAGGAGCCATGCTGGAAGCCATGGTTTCTCAAGGAACCTGCAAATTATAATCTTGCTATCCAGCAACAAATGGCATGTCCAGACCTCCTGAAGAATGGTCTCATTTCATGCTAACAATGGGTGAGTCTTTAAACAGCTATGAGCTTCACTGACAGTGCTAATACTCCCCAACAAAAATAATGCTGTCAGACTCTCTGAATCTTAGACAGATCAATGCTATCACAGTGTTAGTAGCATATAACCAGTCAAAAAAAAAAAACAAACCCTCAAACAGAGGAAGCATGTATTTTACTGCCTCTTGAAATGCTCTTGTCATGGCAATTAATATGAAGGGTACACCAGACTATGTGTGCTCCTTATAAAACTTCATCAAAGAAGCTTTTATCCACAAAGAGAGAACTGCTAAAGTCTGCCATTAGTGAACTCTTTATGGCTTTCAAGAATTCAGACTTCAAGCCTGGTCTGGTTCAGCCAAATACAAAAAGGTATATCGCAGGAAAAACCTTCGCAGCAACTAAGTAGAATATCTTAAAGCTTTTTATCCCCTCACAGAAGTGCACAGAATAAACATTTGAGTGCTGATTTTCAAAATTCATACTTCTCTTAATAGCATTAATAAAAAAGGAATTCCGAAAGAACTGCAGCCCTTGTGTATTCCATGAATAATTATAGTTACTGTATCTTTTCAAACAACTATCAGGCAAAATCTCTACTGTATATGAAGAGTAATGTAAAGTTTTTCTCATCACTCTGCTCTGTGTGTATATCATTGCCATTAGAATTTTACTGTCTGTAACACTACTTGAACAATAAAAAGACATTTTGCTTTTAATATGCTTAGGCTTTTGAGATATTTTTATTTATAGTAAAATGGTTCCTTTCTACTGTGCACTACAGAACTAACCAAAAGAGAAAAAAATAGTAGTGCAAATCAATTCCATAAGTCATCATAAATGAACATTTTTCATCACTGCTTGGTTTGAAGTGTATTGGAAATGCATCAGGCACAGATCAATTTTCTAACCCACTCAAGCTACATTCTGCATATGTTATCGACTCAACTGTGGAGTCATGTGGCAGAAACAGTTAAGTAAATATTTACAGGAGGCTGAGTCCTACAGTAAATCAGTAATGAACTTGTTTGTCTGACCTATTTATTCGCGACCCATAAGTGAGCCTCTACTTTTTCTAGTAGCTTGTACCATGCACATAGTACTATAAAGCAAACTAACAAAGACAAAACAGATTACGTAATGCCTGCAACAACTTTTTCTTTTTTTGTAACTTACAAAAGAGAACTTGCATTGTGATGATTTTGCCCAACCTCTTGATTAACTTCTACTTAGCGGAACATGGGTAAGCTTCCTCCAGTTGAGTATTAGGGGAAAGGTTTCGTATCTTTTTATGTTCAATTTACCTTTAGCAAGAGAGCTCTCAGGCAAGTTTACACAAGATACCTATGTTCTATTTTCTGGAAACTTTTAAAGCTCAAATTTATAAATATTCTCTAGGTAAAACAGATGTTGTCTTACATTATGAATGCCATATTTGAGATGCTTAAGACATTTCTTGCATTCACATCAAAGCAACTCCAGGAGAAGCTAGGGGAAGTGGCTATTTTTGATACATCTTTTTCCATGTAGACACTTAGTATTGCAAGGAACTATTGAATGTAACTATTCACATATACACACCTAAATAAGTGTCTCTCAAGTAAACAAAATGTGTTAACCTCAATCCATTCCCCTTGTACTTTAATGGGATCTCTGGAAACTTTTATGCTCTGTGGGTCCCTTCTTCAGCGACCCAACACCTCCCTAAAGTGCTAAGATTTTAGGCACACCAGCTGTACTCACCTGTGTTACTTCCAAACCCACAAAGATGTCAGAAATAAATGATGACTTTCATCATTTTGGGCAGCTTTTTTTCCTCAAAGAGTATTGTTTCTGAAAAGAAAAGCCCAGCCATTTCTCCAACACCTTCTCTGAGACTTTCAGCAGCACAAAAAACACTGACTCCAAGAGTAATCCACCTACAGTCCTCAAAAGCACTTTTTTCACACATTGAGCCTCCTCCAACCCTCCAGCTTTCAGGTGCTGATGTGGAAGGAAGAGGCAGTGATGATTCACAATTGCTGTTGTGGGGCTTAGAGCTACACAGAACTCACTCAGCCTGACAGTCAGAAGAGGCAGCTCTGCAGTCAGAATACAAAACATTTTACCTGCAGTCATCACTCCCAACAGTGCTGCTCTTCATTTTGGTCTGATCGCTCCTATTTTTCTGAGGTGAGATGTCTTAGTGTACTACATGTCAACACTCAGGCACACATTGGACTGATTTACTTTCAGGGGGAATTGGAGATACTGTTCAATGAAGCTCACACCAAGAGATCATGGAAGACTTGAAATTATTGTACAAGACACAGATAAATAACTGGATGCAAATCCAGATTTAGGGAACCAGGATTCATTAGTTCTGTGCTCACGGATACAGCTGCTTCACTGATTCCAGAGCAAATCTTTTTCTTACTGAGGCTAACGTTAACAGTCCCTTACCTTGTATGCAGTGACCTGCCAAAGCAAGAAAACTTTCAGCTCATGAAGGATAAAAGTTAAGTAACCATGCACATAGTAAGAGTTTTGTCTTTAAATCTGTGGTTCCAGATCACTGCTAAAAGAGAAAAATACATGACCCAGGCTGTGCAGTGCTTTCAGTCGGTCAGGTCGGACTAAGTCTACCTGGCATTAGGCATTCTTCTGTGCATTGGTAGTGAGTGTAGGGCCACAGCTACCCCAAAAGCTAGAAATGGTGTTTGGGTGGCTTACATGGGAACATAAGAAAAGAGAATACAAGCCAGTGCTGTTTCCCAGACATTGTTGCAGCTGTCTTGCTTGCTACTTTCAGTCTGCTGATGTAAACTGAAGTGGCAGAAGAATAAGGAACAAGAGAAGTATTTCTTCAAGACTGAAAAAAAAAATGCTGTAATACAGACTAAGTACAAACACAGTATATGACTGATTCATGTGTCCAAGCAAGCTTTTGTGACCACAGTTTTAAGAAAAAACAGATGCCTCTTGCCAATAAATCAATTGTAGAGATGCTAAACACAAGTGTGCACTAACTTTTAAGTAGAGAAAAAAACCTTATATTTTTATATCTGTTTCAATGATATTTGATATAGTCATAATGGGCTATAAAGCTCTTCCAAATTTTACAGCACCAAATCCTAATCTGAGAATACTCTAATGAAGCAGACAAAGCTCAACACACAAACAGCCTGGCATTTCTGCAATGAAATATGAAACTACGGCCAAATCCCAAGGTCAATTTCTAATTGCAAAACCTTTAGAAACTCTGATGGCTGGCTGTGTAAATGAAGACATCACACTTTGGCCTGTGACTGCTATCATCTATGGAAAGAATTTTTCTTAGAAAAACAAAGCAATCTGCATAATCCTGGCAAATTGGGAAGGTAATTTTAGCACTTACGGCAAGAATTTTGTGCTGCAATTTCCTTAAGGATATTTCAGGCGATTTTAAATGCATACCACATCCAAGAAACAAGTCAGGCTCTCAAGCCAGTTTTCTTTGGCATTGCAGGGAAGAAATTTAAGGTTTGTCTACTAGTTTTATTAAAAATTAAGACATCATTGTTTCAGGTTCAGAAAGCAGCATATTGAAGTGGCCAAGAAGAAACATTATTATCTCAAAGCTACTTTTCCTTCTCGCCCTATCTTTTACGTAGTACCCTACACACATCTTTTCCTTCCCTAGAGGATTTTAAGGACAAGCCTCCAGATGACTGCCCTCTTCTGGATGGAATCAAACACTGTTTGATTATTTCCACACATAAATGCAGTGGTCTGCTTTTCAACGGAGGGCTACTTAAATTTTTTCCTTGTGTCTCTGCAATCACAAATGTTCCGCTATGCCCGAATGAGACCTACGAAATTCTAGAGGCTGCTTCATGATTCCTACATAGTTAGCCAACACTTTAAAGAGTAGAGTTTTTTGCCAATTTGCCTTTTTTCTCTTATGGATTTTTTCACTTTTGCATTTCTTTAATAAATTTTTCATGTTTAAAACAGTGTTGTTTCCTTGTAAAGTACTTAATCTTCCTCCACAAACATAATGGAAAATATTTCCGTATCTCTTTGTGACTTAAGGTAAGCATGTTAAACACAGAATATTATGGCTGGAAGGGTTCTTACATAATCTCTTCCCCTGCCCCAAGATAAGAGTCTGTCAAATATTTCCTTGCTACTTTAGATCAGCGTTTGGCTGACCCCTGTTAAAGACAGCTGATAATGGGGACTGCACAATTTTGCAGGGAACTCAGTCTGCTGCTTCACCAGTTAACTATTAGTGTTCCTATAGGTTTGTTTATAGACTCCTGACATCAGTAAACGGCTCTAGTGATTACTTTCAAAAGGATCCATTCATCAGGGAGCTCTGAGTTTCTTTCTGTGAGCTCTCATCTGTAAATTGAGTGCAAGGATTAAGATGCAAAGTAGAAAGGCTAACGACAAAATATTCCTTAAAGAGGGTTTTACTTCTTGACAGCAGAACCAGGAAGCTGGAAGTTTTTCTCGGCATTATGTATGCATAGCCATACAACCAGTGCACACTTTGAAACTTTCACTGCACATCTGTGCATCACTGCATGGACTAGGCACCAAGCCAAAGGCTGAATTCCTACGAGTCCGTGCAGCTCCCACACGTTTACAGCACTAGGACCCAGAGGGAGCTTAATTTCTGTGAGTCAGTGCAGCTAGCTGAGCCCTGAGAGCAGTGAATGAGGCTGGAAAGGCAGGGGGAATGTGAATGGCTCTTCTGGCTTGGGAAAGTGTCCACGGACTGGGGTGCTACAGACTACAAAACAGCTTGGACAACCTCCAGATTCCCCGTACCCCTGGCATCCAGTGACATTGCTCTGAGGTGAGTGACCACAACAGTCAGTTTTCACAAAGCAAGTAATGCGGCTGTTGCACCAGTTATGGAAGTTTGGTATCTTCAAAATTAGCCAATGTATTCTTGCTGTGCAGTGATTTTTGCTCTCTTGAGGAGGAACAGATCAGATATTTTTGAAACATGGAGTGCTCATTGCTTAAAAATTGCATTTGCAAGAAAAGTGTGGTCCAGTGAAACCAAACACTGCATCTACTAATGCAGGTTAAACTGCAAGCACATCTGGAAGGTGTTGTTAAAGCATTTGTGTTAAAGCATTTAAGCATTTTCAAGCTTAAAGCTTGAAAAATATCTTCATTAAGAACAGCTTAATCTTAGAGAAGCATACGTATTCTCATTCTGTTCATCCAGGTATATAAAAACTTTTTTTATTTGCATCATACAGCAGTTACACCTATATGAAAATTCTTTACTGTCTTTGTTCTGAATATTAATGCTTAACACTTTCTTTTCTTCCTGTGATAATTCTACTCTGTAAGAACACCTTTCTTTCTTTACTTATATAAATAAGATATAAATAAACCAAAGCATGACTGGTCCAAGACAGAAACCTTTTAACTATAGGCAGAGCAGTAGTTCACTAGACCCTGTGTATCCTCTAGGATGTCCAATTGGAAAAGCTTACAAACTGTGCTTTGGAAAAGCTTACAAACTCCCTGCTGCCTGCCTGTTAGTGACAGGATGAAAGTGACAATATTTATTGATTTATACTAGGTGATAACACTGTTTTACCTGATACCCTAGACAGAGACAAAAATGGGGACCCCAGTCAGAGAGAGAGAAGCAAGTTGTGTGTGGAGAACAAAAAGAGTTTGTGCTTCAGTTGCTTTCTTCACTTTATATTCTCCTTATATGCTCAAGAAGTTTCAGAAAAACAGCAAAAGCGAGCATGCCTGTCAGGCTGGTTTTTCCAAGTTGTCACAACTTCCAAGTTGCATTGTAACTGTTAAGACAGATAATTTATGGCTGTTTTCATGCATTACAGTATCACAATAAAGCCTTTCTGGCAGTTTTTTGGTTAGGCAAAATAAAATGTGAAAATTACCTGCAAAAAGACAGAGAGAAAGATAACTTGCCCCGTACATTCATAATTTGCACTTCTGAGCCATTCCAAATATTATGGAAAACAAGCTTTTTTAAACAACCCTGAAAACTACTATTTCTGGCATTTCTCTGAAACTCAGGTTACAGTATTTTCTACACTTTCACAAAGAGGTTGCAGTTATGGAATGCAGAACCAAATAAACTGGAGTGTTCACTTAAGTATGAAATATTTGGGCCTAAATATATTTGTAACTATGCATTTGAATCATTTGCTACCAAATCTCAGCTAGGTCTCGGGAGAAGCCCTCCTGATCAATCTGTACAGTAGAGTAAGAATGTTTTCACATCTTAATCAATCGCACCTTAAAGGGATCAGTCAGTCTCACTGTATGGTAGAAAATAAAGTAACTGTGGCTTTCTTTTTCTCACCATCTTAGCTAAGCTGTGTCCATTTTCTCAATCACAAGTTTAAATTACCTTTTCAGATGTCTTCATTTAAGCTCAGTGGAGAACTACAAAGAGCACAAAGGATCATTCTAATCCACAGAGAGTAACTAGGCAGTCTGTGCAATCACCATAAAATGTTAAATTTAAAACTCAGATTAGAGAAATACCTGAATTTCAGATTAGTGTTTTCAAGGATAAAATGTCATTCTTTAAAAGAATACCTAAAACAAGGGTTAGATAAAATACATTAGAAAACTAGATTATCTCAATCAATAAGTCACATAAGTTCCCCTACTGCTCTATGGCTTTGGCCATATAAAAATGTTCTTTAAAACACAAATTCTATTAATTGGTTTCCTGTTTCTTTATTAAATGCTTTTAAGACTAACAGAATATTGAATACAAATCAATTAGAATTAATTAACTCAAAGGCAAAGAAAAAAATCTTGGCAATTTAAAAAAGTTAAAATAATTCTGCCTTTTTTTGCTTATATTTTAAGAACAAACTCTGGGGATCAAATATAAAGAGTTAATAACATTAATACTTTAATTTTAAAAGATTCAATATTCTAACACTAAAAGTCAGTGCTGGACTGCTGAGTATAGAAATATTTGCCTATACTTCCAATCTCAATTCAATAAAAACTGGTGAAACTCAACTCCTTCCAAACCGGCTACAGCAATGGTGACCTCTGCTGGCAACTGCCTACTCATTAAAAGAAATTTTAAGGGCTTGTTCAGAATGTGACAGTGAACTAAAACATTTAATAAATCAGCTGATACACTTAAGAGAAATGTAAGAGAACACCTCTTCCCACAAAACTTGCCTCATGGTACTGAAAGCAAAAGGCACATGCAGCAACACTACAACTGCATTTCTTACACACTAAAAAGGAAATTCTCCCTGTGCTGAATTTGACTGGAGCCCAGTCACAGAGGCCAATGTGCCAAAAGAGCATTTCTACAACAAAAGCTTATCCCACTGAGGGACAGATGCCCTACTGGATGTGTGTGGCTCATCCTCCTGACACAATGCCCTTTGTGCAGCTATGCTGAATTCATTAAATATTTGTGTGTGTGTTCACAGAAAAAATTATGTAGCCAAACAAAGCAGTATCATTTTTGCTGACAAGATTGTAGTATCTATTAATGTAAATTCTGTGCACTCTTATCTGCCCAGTTCCACTAATACAAAAGCTATGTGACTTAGTTGGTGGAAAGAAAGTTTCAGACTCTCGATATAAACCTATGCTGTCCCCACACCCTGAATATTGCTTGTAGTTCTGGTCATCATCTCAGAAAAAAAGAACAAAGTAAAACAGTAAAAGGTGCTGGATGACAAAAGGCCTGAAACATTTTCCATATTTAGAGAACTACATAGATTATAACTTCTAAGTCTGTAAAAGAGATAACGGAGGATGGCTAATGAAGATATTTATAGTCATAACCGATGTTTATAAAGAAATGGCTGTTGTCTTGTGTCTCAGCAGAAAAGGCAAACAAAAGAAGGTAGCTCCTTTCTCCATGCATACTCAAGCTATGGAATTTCTTTCCACAGGACACCATAGCTCACAGGTGTTCAGAAATTAATCAGGCATACTAAAAGCAAAGACACTACCTGTGTTTCAGGAAATCTCTAATTCCAAAATGACTGCTGAGTGGGAGAGTATACCAAGGAGATCATCATCGTATAGTTGCCCATTCTGTATACCAGTCCCTACACATTACTAGCTGCTGCAGGGGACAGAACACTGGTCTGGATGAACTTCTGCTCTACTACAGACTACTCAACATTCTCTTCTGTGTTTTAGTCTGTCAAATACTTGACCTACCCTAGCCAGAAGGAAAGTGATTATGTAGTACTTATTATGGGTTTCTAGTTTACAGATTTGTTCAAGAATCAGATGTAGGAATGTGTTCATGTATGCTTCCACTAAAGAAAGACATTAATTCTGAGACTTACAGTAATTTAGGCAAACCAATGTCTGAATAATTACGACTGAGTACTGAAGAAAGGCCTATGAAAGCACGTAACTGGTTGATCTTATGTAAGTCACTGAAATATAGTGCAAACTGGAGAAAATACTTTTATGTCATACCTTGCAGCCTATTTATCTGTAGAGCTGAGATCTTGTATGAACCTCATTATTGAACTCAATTCTTCCACAAAAAATATTATACACACATCTACATAAAAAGTAGCATGGAAATACTACATAATTAATTACACTGACAATATACCTTTCACTCTGAGAACTGCATTACCTTGTAAAATGCAACAGCCCAGAGCATATCAATGCAAACAGGGAAACTTGAATGTCAAGAACCACCAGCATATTCCAAGGTTGAATGGTGGAGACATGTCAACTGGATTTAGCTGACTTGCTGTTGATGTGAGAGATGTGTGTTTTCAGTCCGTAAGCATGCATGAAGTAACGCTACAACAATACAGAACTTCCTGTTCATAGAAGTGGAGTTTGTGCCCACAAATTTTGCTTCTCTGAGATTATTGAATACTTGCAAAAGCGTTATGATGTACTTGAACATTATCACCTGGTACTTGTAAACAATTATGAGGACACAGTAGGAGGTAAGAAATTAAATTTACTGGATACACAAATGATTATGTAAGATGCTGATTGCACTGGCAAAAAGTTGAGAAGTCACTAAGGATATAGAGTTGGCTACAGCAGTTCACTAGTCAGCACATCTGATTATTAGCCCCAAATAAAGCATACGCAACTACTCCAAAGTGCACGGTTGCTTTCATGGGTTTAGAAGAATGAGAGGCAGGAAGATACAGTACTTTCCTACCTTCAGGCTTAATGTCTGTGTGACTATATTAATGTGAAAATTAGATTATACCATTACTATAGAGCAGGAGAAAATATTCAAAGTGCTACTCAATATTTTCAGCTTGCATACAGCTATTAAGATGAAAATTGCTGTATGCACATAGAAATCAGGCCCAAATATATACATACATGAATGAAACTTCTCTGGCATATCATCTAAATCCAAAATTAAAATGACTGCATGTGGTAGTTTGAAATAACATGCTTGACTGCTCTCCTGCCAGGCTTCTGTAGCATCATTTGAATTTCCTGTGCCACTGTTCAATGAATGAAACACCTTTGACTTTTCCCTAGCCTCTTGCATTTGCATCATGCTTTGAAATTTTAAAGCACAATCGTTGACAACATCAGACAACCTAAATCAAGATCTGTCTGACCCACATACTCTGTTGCTGGGATTGGTTTCATCACATGAAGATTCCACATTGCATAGTATTATTCCCTGAAAGAAACGAAGATCATGGTAACACATAGCAGAAGTCCTGAGGAATTGCCAGGACTGGACTTTACAATCCAAATCCTAACACACTCTCCTCAGTCTGATAGTCACCGCAAGTATTTTCTGTGCATAACTCTGATCACTCACTGCCAG